TAAGAACAAGTCTGTATGGAATGAACACGGATATTTATCCATAATATTACTTGAGTCCATACCGACAGATGGTTAAGACCGCAACTTTCAGGAGCACAAATTATAATAACATGCTAAATCTCCGTATAGTTCTATATCAGATACCAGTATGATGAACCTTGCTTTTGTACCTTTTGAGTAATATCAAAATTAATATTTCATTGACATACAGAAAGGGGTCAGCCTTTAGTCCCCTCTTAGTGAAAACAGAAGGGGACTAATAACAACAATTTATTCTCATAGTTTCAATTGTCAGGTTTATTACTTTTCATTAAACCAGGCAAGCTAAGATACATGTTAAAACCACAGGCACTAGACACAATTAATTTACCCATATAAGCTCATAATACTATATATAAAGAATAAAGGTCCCTAACGAGAGAAAACTATCATGCAAAACAAACAAGAACTGTTCTGTAAAAATACACCAGATCACTATTTTATCTTTGTGGTTGTCTCTAGGAATAATGTATCCTATCATGAACACTTTTTTACTTCATGGAAATCCTTCAAAAGGCTCCAAAATACGAGCAAGTTTCCAAATTTCACTGAAATGTCATTGCATGTCGTTTTCATCGTCCAAGCGATGCGTGTAAACAAAGGTGAATTCTGGTCAATTTCTACAAAATCAACGAATAACTGTTAAAATTTCCACATACATGTACCAAACTGCAAAGTCTTTACTTTTCAACTGTCCGACGATAACGCTAACAAGCTAAAACAAGAGAGCCATGATGGCCATGAAGTCGCTCACCTGTATATAGGCCCCACGGAGCGGGGCCAGTTTAAACTCCAGGGCTTTTATTTGAACAAACTTGGTAGACACCCATTAGAAGATGTTTCATGCTAAACATCTAAGGTCTAGCTCGTTGGGTTTTTTAAAAGAAGATTATTTAAGTTTTTTCTTTACACATATATTTAAAAACAATTACACCCCTGGAGCAGGGCCAGTTTTGACCCCAGGGCTTTTATTTGAACAATCTTTGTAGACACTTACTAGAAGATGTTTCATGCTTAATATGTAAACTCTAGCTATTCGGGTTTTTTCGAAGAAGATTTTTAAGTTTTTGCTATACACATATAAGGAAAATAAATGTCCCCTAAGGCGGGGCCAATTTTGACCCAAGGGCTCTTATTTGAACAAACTTGGTAGACATCCATTAGAACATGTCTCATTCTAAATATCTTATTTCTAGCGCTTTGGGTTCTTTAAAAAAATTTTTTTTTAAGTTTTTTGTTATATTCATATAGGGAAAATCAATGACCTCCCTGGGGTGGGGCCAATTTTGACCCAAGGGCTCTGATTTAAACAAACTTGGTACACATTCCATTAGAACATGTTTCATGCTAAATAGCTTAGCTCTAGCTCTTTGGGTTCTTTAAAAGAAGATTTTTAAGTTTTTACTATATGCATATAGGAAAAAACAATGACCCCCTGGGGCGGGGCCATTTTGACCCCAGGGCTTTTTTTTAACTAACTTGGACGATACCCATTAGAAGATGTTTCATGCTAAATATCTTAGCTCTAGCTCTTTGGGTTCTTTAAAAGAAGATTTTTTTAAAGATTTTACTATAAACATATAGGGAAAATCAATGACCCCCTGGGGCGGAACCAATTTTGACCCCAGGGCTTTTATTTGAACAAACTTGGTAGACACTCACTAGAAGATGTTTCATGCCAAATATCTAAGCTCTAGCTCTTTGGGTTATTTAGAAGAAGAAATTTAAAGTTCTGCATGGAATTAAATTCTTTGAACAATTTTCAAAGGTGACCACCAAAGAAACAATCCTGTGAAGTTTGGATGAAATTGGCTTAGTGGTTTATGAGGAGATGTCATTTAAAGTAAAAGTTTACGGACGACAGAGGACGGACGGACGGCGGACGAAAAGCGATCACAAAAGCTCACCCTGTCACAAAGTGACAAGTGAGCTAAAAATAGAAATAGAAATTATTGACAGCTCCGTTCCAGAAAGTAACCATTTCCTACATTACCGCATTGAATATAAGGTAAAGTAATGATTGGTTAAGCGGGAAATCCGAGTTTTAACATTTTCCTTCAACACAATGTTCATGACTGGCCTTTACTTTTGGATTCAACTCAGACTAGCCCTCTAAATACTCCAACTAGTCCAAAGTGTTCATGGTGCCTAAGTATACAGTTATGATCACTACATCTGGAAACTGGAGATTCCCACCGACTGTGATGCTAATCTTCATTTGCTTGAAAGTGACACATGTCCACCTTAAAAAATGCAATAAAAATTATATGAAGTCCAATAATTTGCAAAAAAGTGCTTATCTTATTTGTCTCTTCTTACATTTATAATGCAGAGCACTAGATTTGTGTGTCTGTCATACAAAATGACTTTCAATAATACTATCTAAATATATTTGAAATACAATTTCTTTAATAAATACTCATAGTTATACTAAATTCCTTTTTATTTTTAGTTTAATAACCAATATGAATGTTTCAAAGATTATCCCTTCAAACTTTAAAAACAGTCTGTCAATTAAGCAGATCTTAGCAATAAAGGCACACTAAGAAGCAAACAAGAGCAATCATTGATCACATGTGTCGCCTCATGATGGCCAATTTCATGTTGAGACAAATTTTGTGACAGACGGACAAACAGATGGACAATGCACAACTAGACTTGGTACTGATCATTCCTGTAAAGTTTGGATAAAATTGCACCAGTAGTTTATGAGAAGTAGTCCGGACAAGCTTTTGCATATCTGGCAACACACAGTAAAAAACACCTTTTATCAAAGGGCCATAACTCAACCAAGAATCATTCAACCGGAAAACCTGTGCAATATGCGCAATGACTTGAGCTACAGATCAATCCTGTAAAGTTTCATTGAAATTGCATAAGTGGTTTAAGAGAAGTAGTCCGGACAAACTTTACAAATAAAAATTATTAAAGGGCCATAACTCTGACAAAAATCATTGAACCGGAAAATGCTGACAATATGCACAACTAGACTTGGTACTGATCATTCGTGTAAAGTTTGGATGAAATTGCACCAGTAGTTTATGAGGAGTAGTCCGGACAAGCTTTTGTGTATCTGGCAACACACAGAAAAAAAACACTTTTTATCAAAGGGCCATTACTCGGCCAAAAATCATTCAACCGGAAAACCTGTGCAATATGCGCAAGGACTTGAGCTACAGATCAATCCTGTAAAGTTTCATTGAAATTGCATTAGTGGTATAAGAGAAGTAGTCTGGACAAACTTTAAAATTAAAAATTATTAAAGGGCCATAACTCTGACAAAAATCATTGAACCGGAAAATGCTGACAATATGCACAACTAGACTTGGTACTGATCATTTCTGTAAAGTTTGGATGAAATTTCACAAGTAGTTTATGAGGAGTAGTCCGGACAAAGTTTGTGACGGACAGACGGATGGACGGACAGACAGGCGACGGAGAAGTGATCCCTATATGTCGCCACTACTCCGTAGAGGCGACACAAAACTGGTCAATCAAAGGGTAGGGAAACATTTTTATAGATATTAAATCATTTGGTGGAGAAACAATCACTTCACAGCTGTGCTTTGCTATTGAGTATTTCTTTTGTTTCAATCTTGAATAACCAAAATGTAAACAATAAGGATTAACTGTATTGTAAATTTTGCATACATATTGAGGTCTTGTTCAAGGCAACAAAACTGTATTGTAAATTTTGCAGTTCCTTGTAATGCCCTGTAGGATTGATTATCACCCGAAAGAAATTGATATTACCGAGTCAGACGTGTAATATACACACTAAATTTCCCCGTTGGGTACCCCACGTTGTTAACAACATGCGCTTTGGCGATGCGCGTACAGTTCGATTTTACGCAGTGTAAATTCCGATTTACAAGCACCTTTTAACTGTCAAATGATAAATATTTTCCAAAATAGAGTAATGATACATATCCTCATCAGTATTGAAAACAAATATGACCTCGTGAAAGCTTGATATTAATTACAAAAAAAGTGCGTTCAACAGACTTCTCCTTTTCTCTTGTTGACATTCGTTAGGTACGAAAGAAAAACGTCATGTATTTCTGTGACGTCATGGTGAAGGGGTACCCTAAAGAGAACCTTATTTCAACGTTTCAGTTGAAGTAATGATTTATTTTTAAATCGTCTTAACTCGGCAGGGGAAGGGTAATAAAATTATTATTTTGGTTTTAGAGTGATTTATGTGGATATTACCTGCCAAGATGAAATGTTATCCTCGCCTAACGACTCGGGTGATATCAAATTTCTATGTGTTTTAACGATCCATCAATAAGAAAAATAACATTTGTTTACTTAAACCCTCACATAGTGCGCAAACAAATTTCATGTTTCAAAGTTTGAAGTTTTATTGATTCACTCAGCATATTTACATATGATAAGGTATACAATAATGTATAAACAAATTTACTTTATGTGTAATCAGGTTATCAGGTTGTTTATTCAAATTAAATTACTTATTGTAGGTTTAGTATTTATAAATACAATATTTCATAACATACAATGTACCTATGTTTAAATGCCAAATTTTGCAGAACAGAAAATATTTAGATTACATTATTTAGATTATAAATAAAAAACAATGTAACTAGCCAAATGGGTTCTTAAAATGTTTAAGTATAACATTAGATTAACTATGTTGTTTAATTTCTGTGGATCTGTTTCATAATAATTTCCTAAACGTAAACATTTTTTTGTTTTGTTGATTAATTTGTAGTAAGAGTCGTTTTCGTTTATTTTCAAAAAAAAAAGACTTCATTTTCCTTCATTTCGAACAAAACCTTACCACCTTCAAATAAACAAATATTTTTAAATATTTTTCTTACAGTAAACAACATTTTATTGCACGCAGAATGAGAATATTGAACAGTATAAAGTATGTGAAGCGGTTCAATAAATATTTTTTGCGCCTCCGTATTCAACTATTGAATGAATTGAATGCTAATATCTGTCATAAAAGTAAACTGGACTCCGCCCACTTTCATATTTGTATTTCATATTTGTGTTTAAAAAATAAAGTATATTTGACTAATATAACACCAGATGTGATGTGTAAAACTAAATTAATAAGCTTTTGCTGCCATGTTATATCACAAAAGTGTCCAACACCTCAATACGGTAGTTATAACGTCTCTAGAAAACAACTTATTAATACGTTTTCAATATGTTGTTACATTGTTGTTATACAATGAGGAATCAAACACGACCTTTGTAAGATTTGTGACACGTATAAACTTGCTCTCAAACAATTAAACGATTTAAGCAGAGATTGATATACCTATCTGTCGGTCATACTGATTCCCGTAATGTTTATACTCAACCGCGTTTATAAACACCTTCATTCATATTCGTACTGTACAACATAAATGTTCTTTACAGCTTTTACATTCTTGTTTAAAAATTGTTTCATCAAATGTACACTAGTTTACTGTTATAAATGTTATGTTACATTACACATTCGGTCTTGCAATTATTATGAATTAGCTCAAAATAGTTACATATATCCTTAATAAGATTAGGTATATGATAATATTTCCAAATCGAAAACCTTTATATTGTTCGAATTACTTCCAATCAGCATCTGGTCTGTATGTTGGGTACAACAAATTGCTTGCATGCCAGTTCGACTATCGTCTGCTTTCAACACTTCTCCAAGAAGTTCACCATCTCTCCTGAATTGTAGGACATTGTTAGAGGAACATCCGCAAACAAGCAGACTGTCTTCCTCCGTTACACAGCTCCCCGATGGCTCGGATAAAACTTGGTCTTTAAAATTTCCAACAGCGGTCCCTTTTCCCTCGAGTATTATTAGTTCGTTATACCCGTCCGCGATATATATTCTAGATCCATCATGACTGATAGACATACTGTTTATATACCGGTATAATTGGTCTCCTGGTTGATCTATGTTGAACTGTTGCAGCTTTCGTCCAGATAAACTATATACATACACAAATACACTTCTATCAGATATGTACAAGTTACCTTTAGCAAAAGCCAGACCACAACATTCAAAGTCAGTTTTTATTGCCCGTGTCAGAGTCAATTCGTCACAAGTAGCAAACTGCACTTCCCTCTGAAACGGTAAAGTCACTGCTAGCTCATCCATAGTAGTTGCACATACTTGCATTGGTTCTTCTTGTAGTTCACAGTAGTCTACAATAGTAAAGGTACAACATTCTAAACGTTTCAGTTTTTTATTTCCAGCGTCAGACAACACAACTGTCCCATTATGAAGTACACATGCACTTGTTATGCTGCAATCTTCTTCATCGCTGTCTAACTTGATACAAAATATACCGCTTTTGCCAACTCTAAGCATAGCCGTTTGCTCCTTCTGGCCAAATGTTCCAAGAGAATCTATTTTCGTCAGCATTGATAGTAGATTATGGTCCAAATTCAGACAAAGGTCATTAGTTAAAACTGTAGACCCATACATATCTCTTCTGGCTTGCCTAGTCATATCGTTAGCTTTTGTGACACTTACAAACTTATGGACCTTATTCTCTTCATTCGTCTTGATATTGTCTTTTATTGACACTAATTTAGTTTTCATTGCTTCACATTTTTTCATTTTGTTATCTAACTTGGCTATGGTACCATTGAATCTTGTAACTGCGTCAGCTACTGTTTTCTTTTCCAGTTCATCCAGCCTATCATTTATTTCTTTTCTAAACTGACTTATAGAGTGAAGTGTTGAAGCTTTGTTATTCAGAAGTTTTTGCTTCTTCTGTTCCAGATCTTTTAGATAATCTTTTAGATGTGATATACATTCAGCTGTTTTCTTTTTTACATCGTTTGTCGAAATCCTTTTCTTTGTCTTCAAATATTCTGGTATATAAAATGTGTTCTCACATTGTCTGTAATTGTAAATGAATTTCAATGTTACGAATGGACCTAAATACCATATATCTATTTACAAACATTACAACCAAACGTATTTATTTTATAACAAAAATGAAATAGACACTCTTTCGATCAAAAGGCCAATAAGATAAGCATATTCGATTTAAGTATAAGAAGAAAAAAAGGAATTTCATAAAATAAGCTTTAACTTTCTGTTGAATTATTACATTTTAAATACCAATGTTTGTAAGTAACCGACTAATTCTTTCGAAAACGTGTAGAAATGTTCACAAAAATTAACCCATTACCAAATGACTACATTTATTTTAAATCGTTATTTTTTAAGACGTTAACAATAGCTGCAAGGCATTTTACGGACGTTTAACTTACTTCTTATCATGTGTTACAATTCTTGAACAGTAATAAATACCGGCACTTTATAACTTTTAACTTCTAATAAGTTATAAAATAAAATGAGGGAGAGTATGATGTGAAATGAAAACAAACTTACTTATGATCAACAGCTATACAGGTTCCACATCCAACATAATCATGGTCGCGGCAGTACATATCAATAAAATTTTGACGGTGTAAATCACACTTTTCTGTTGAAACATAACTCATACCCGAGTCTGTTTTTGTTGGTGGTGATGACAGCGTAATTTGTTCTTTTCTATGTCTAGAAAGTGCAGGCACTTCGTCATGAACTTTGATACATATATCGCAGTAATTGTCATTACAATCAACACAGAAATATTTTGCTTCTTTGTTTCTGTTTTTCTTTAAACACATTGTACAAGGAAAATCAAATTCTTCGTCGTGAAGAACGCAAGTATTAATATTCACACCACCCCCTTCCGCCATTTTTAATAAATTAATCAAGTGACAATTTCAAGTTGTTTTATTGCAACATGAACATCATCTACTGATTGTTTGAGATACACAAATAGTAGTATAATAATTACTTCAATAATTATAAAAATAACTATTGTATGCCTAGTGCAAAACAAGCACTTTTTAAGGAAACCAAATGGAAAGATAGAACGTTTGATAAATACCTATCGACGTCAATAACGTTTAGAATTTCAACTGTAATATTTTGTCGAAGGCTTTACAAATTCTTGTTTACATGCTGGCGCGATTTAAAGTAATTGACTCGCTTGATAATAAACGGTTTGAAAAGATCTTTACGTTTTGACAAACTTGAATAGAAGTAATGTTGACAGCTTCAGATTGTATATCCTAATTAATAACAAGTTTTTTTGACATGTGATTTATTGGTAAAGATATAGTTGATACAGTCGATTGATATATGGTATAAATCAGTTAAAATGAAATAAATTTATAATTTTATCATAAACGAAAACATTGCAGTATTATATTCTTTTGACAACTGATTTAAAGTACATAATATGCAAATAACATCGAAATATTCTATACTATTTTTTTCTATGTAATATCATTGAATATTGATGATAATAACTTGACAGAAATATGGCCCATTTAGAACCTAAATTTCCTGCTATTTTTTCCATGTAATATCATTGAATATTTTTGATCATTTTTTCTCAAGATTTTCACTTGAAACTAAAAACATATTCTCGGGGTCATAACTAGATGTCATTATCTAAGACAAAACTTAACAAAAACCCATAACTCTGACGGTGGTTTTACTGACTTATGGCCATTTTGTGTACACCCTGAAGGCATTTACTTTAATCTTATTACATGAATCAAGATTCATTCTAATTTTCATGAAAAAAATAGAAATGTATTTAAAGTACACTATTGTGAATAAAACAGAATAATAGTTTACTTATTGCACACAACACTCGTATCCACTGAAATACAACAAAATCAGGCCTTTATCTCACATAACATGTAAATTATTATGTTATCTTATTTTGTTTTACTTTTCTTAAAATCTTAAAACATTTTTCTCAAGTTTAATTTTCCTCATACTTATCAATATAAAGTACACGAAACTGCCAAGTAATATAACTGTGCCATCCATTTTGTCCTAGTTATTTCACTTTTTACCACTTTTAAAAATAGGCTTTTGTATGGTTAACCTATTTCGGCAAGTTGGATTTATCTTAGAGTTATCCTTATTACTTTATTAATTTAATGATAAATTCTTAATTTGGTAGGTGTCTACCTTAAATAGTCCTCTAACATTTTATGGGTCACTTGCATCAATGTCACTAGTGTAAAACGAAAATTCATGCATTTTTGCTCATACAATATTTATTGTTATAATTGATGTATTTTTGTTTTATACGGACATGCCTAGGGAGACCCTCTCACTTTAAGTTAAGTTATGGGTCATTTGGGTCAAAGTCACCATTGTCAAAAATAGAACCTTATTCTATTGTCAGATGTTTTTTATGTTTGGAAGGAACATAAAATTGAAGTCTTCAAACTTTGGATAGAGTAAGGGGTCAGTTTGGTCAAGGTTACCTCTGCTTAATTATTTTACACTTTTGCACATACAGCCTTTATTTATTGACAGATGTCTTTAATATTTAGAAGGAAGATAACTTGCGTCGTCTTCTTCCCCTGGATGGTGTCATTAAAGGACAGATTTCTTCTCCTTTGCTTATACAGCCTGTATTATTGACTGATATTTTTTATATTTCGTAGGATGATAACTTGCATGGTCATTTTCCCTTAAATTGAGTAAGGAATCAGTTGGAATAAGGTCACAAGTGCTTAAAATAGATTTTTACACTTTTCCCCATACAGCCTTTATTTTTGGACATTTGTCTTTCATGGTTGGTAGAAAGATATCTCGCATGGTCTTTCTTTGGACTGAGTAAGGGGTCAGTGGGTAAAGGAAAGGGTGCCAAACATAGATTTCTTCATATTTGCTTATACATTCTTCATTAATTTTATAGACTGCTTTTCGATATTTGAAAGGAACAAACCTGGGTTGGTCCAATGTTGGGAGTGACAAGGTCAATTCACTTGTGCTAACAATAGATTTTTTAAACAATTTTTCTTATACAGCCTTTGTATGTTTTTGCTAGTGTCGGAACATACTGCAGATGGGCCTTTTAACTTAGGAGGAGTTTAGGGTCACTGGGTTCAAGGTGGCGGCCTTGCACACATATATATTTGATAAATGTTTGTAAGTTAAATATTTTTCAACTTTATCACAAAGCAATGACATACCATCTTATAGCGAGCTCGAAGAGCAGGCCCGAAGGGCCTGCTCGCAAAGCGAGCTTTACGGTAACGCGAGTACCTGCTAAGTGATGGTTTTGAAAACTTTCGTCCGAAAGTACTGATATGACACATCGCAACTTTTCGAATTTAAAGATAACGATAAAAACTGAGGAATTCTGACTGAAAACGGATGTGTAGACTGGTCACCCGCGCACTTCTATGGGAACCATAATTGGACAGGGAACCAGAATAACGGAAGCTGTGTATAAAATATCGAATGTCAGTTTTAAAACGGAAAATGTAAAATGAAAATTGAACGATTATTTTAACCGACTTTTCCCGTACATAGGTTTTGCCTGATTTCATTAAATGTACATTTACCTCCTCTTTTTTCAACAAACAAAACATTCTAACACAATCGGAAATTTTTCTATATAAACAAAGAAGGCCCGGAGCAAGTATTACTCTACAACAATGCACTGGCCGTTCTTATTATCTCCCTGTGTATGTTCACATTGAGGGCGCCATTTTGTTTGAAAAATCTGATAAATAAAAACAATTTTTTGTCGAATTTTGTTGTGAAAACTATCTAGAATGAAAGAAAATGGTCTAACTAAGAAAATGAATCCGAACACCAATATCTTTTATTCAGTCGTTAACGCTGTACAGACGTTTAAAGTATTGTTTACGTGACGTCACAATATATAGCGCCAAACAGCACGTGCAAAACAATCAAATCAAGTACGCTATTTTAATGTCTCAAACGTGTTAAGTTTTACATTTATTTCACTTTTAATAATCTTTATTTCGCTTGAAAAATTATAGAGTGAAATAAAATAAACAAACATAGTTTTATCAACGTTTTCAAAATTCGTTATTCTCAAAATGTTTTTTTCACGTAGCATAAATGATAAAATACATTAATTTTATTCATTTAATAGGAAGAACCAGAATAAACGGAAGCAGTGTATACAATACCGAATGACAATTTTAAAATGGAAAATGTATAATAAAAATGAGCGATTATTTCATACTACTTCTCGTTAAAAGTACATCGAGCTCGCTTTGAGGCTTTGCCTTTTTCATATTATTTTTCACCATAACAAAATGACAGAACTCTCTTAAGTAATATAACAATGTTGACATTTTTTGACATTTTTTCTGTATATAACTGAGTAATTTTTTTATTTTTTTTTTAAATGTTACTGAAAAGAATCTGTCTTATTTTGTTATCATTTTCACTAAATGACATCATGAGACCATATAAACTTATATGTTATGCAAATCGCCCCAGGATAATACAAATTTCACTAAATTTCCAATTTCCAAACTTACTGTATAAAAATATTTAAATCAAAAGTAAACACATTAATGAAAGTTGTAAAAGGAGTTCCACAGCAGTACAAAAGTCTAAAACATAAATTTTTTAAAAGCTTACAATAACTGGGACGATTTAAATTGAAAATAAAAATACTTAGAATTCAATTTAAAAGAGACAGTTACTGAGATGTTGGGCATGATGTGAGTATTTTTTACCATTCAAATGCTATTTTGAAAGTAATTTTGCACAATTAAATGTAAAAATATGTCCAGACTAATGATGTCAAAAACATTCAGTGGAGTCCTTTGAAAATAACTACAGTCAACTATCGTTATCTCGACATCGCTTTTCTCGATATTTCGTTATCTCGATGAAATTTTAAAAGTCCCGATTTTTTTCCTTCTTTATCTATATTGGAAATATTTGTTTATCTCGATATTTCTATTTCGATATTTTCAGTATCTCGATGAAAAATTTCAGCCCCAACAGTTATTTTCACACAATTATCCTTTGTTTATCTCGACTAATAATTTTCTTTCGTCTGTTCCCTTCAGACGTGTGAAAAACACAATCTAGACGATAATTGCTCAATTACAGCGCGTGTCATAATGACAATTATGTTTGTAACAAGTTTAGCTGTTTTTATAAAAGTTAATCTATTTAGCGTGTTGATTGACTTATGTCCAAAATGAGTGAATTTTACATTCTTTTTACATTCTTTTTAAAAATTCGAACACTGTATCAATTCATTTTGACTTTAAATGTAAATGAAATAGTGAAAGTATAGAAACACTACCGTTGCAATATTGTTTCACAACATCAACACCAAATCAATCAGCGGTCGAACAATCTCGAGAAAGACCCGATAAATAACCCGGGAGGATATCCGAATCAACCATATCCGATATCAGATTCACTATATTGGTGTATTACTGAGTAAATCTCACTATGTGTTTTTATCACAGACACCCGTATTTCCGCTGGTTAACATCCGCCAATGTTACTTTGTCAAATATTGACTAGGCCTATGAAAACAAGATATAGGGATATTATCGTTTATTTGACATAAGGTATGCACATGTCTTTTGTAAAAATCAGTTTCGCTTTGTTCTAACCTTAATATGTTTATCTCGACATTTCGTTATCTCGATATTTTTTGGACGGTCCCAATGACTTCGAGATAACGAGAGTCGACTGTAGTATATAAATAAAATTAAAGTGTCAAAATTGATAAATATTTGTTGAACATAAACCAATATGATAACAATTTGAGTAACAAAGTCCTTAGTTAAAACTTCTAGACGTTAGAATCGTCCAAACTAATAATTATTCAAAGTAATTAAATACTATTCTTAGAAATTGGTTCCAGCTGCTCGAATCTGCTTGACTCTCAGCAGTATACAGGAGTGAAT